AGCCACTGCCATGCTGCAGCCTCATCGTCGCAAAAAGTTTAGTTTTATTTCATTCATTCATTGTTTTGCTCGTCTCCCCTCCTCCACCCATACCGCAGAGGAAAGGATGGAAGGGATGGCTTGGGTCTAGCGGAGGTGACGGTGCCAGTGACTCCAGGTCGTGGTCCCATACCTGCAGAATTCCCACACTTTTTCCGGGTGTCGCTTTTTGGGGGACCCACAGCATCACGGCAGGGCAGTTAAATGCAGCGCACTGCCATGGCATCCCCATGTGCTGCTGGTCCGCAGGAGATACAGTTTTGCCCCATGCCTTCTGTAGTTGCTGCTACAATTTATCATATTTCTCAATTTTATTTTATAAAATACAGCAAGGGGATATAATGACGAGTGAGGGGTCTCTTGTTTTAAGAATTGTATGTTGGTATTGTAAGAATTCATCAGGCTTACAGTCAGAGGACTATTCTTGATGGAATTTACACATACCCTTGACTTTATGTGTTATTGGTAATCCTATTGAAATCTGTACGCATAAAGTTAAGTGCATCTAATCAACTCTGTAGGTTCAGGATTGTATATATTAATTCAATTTAGACTTCAGTATTTAGAACAGAATTTACAATGTGAAGGTACAGCACAGTGATAGCCCATAACAATCTCAAACTTTGTTTTACTATGAAGCGCAAAACAAAAAAAAAAAAACAAAAACAAAAAAAAGAAATCGAGGTGTCCCCTATTAGTCTTAGAGATGAGCAATACCCGCAAAGTTAAATCAGATGTTCAAAGTTATTTTAGGGTCCAAATTATCGGTGTAGAATATATTTCAGTGGAAATTTTTCCTATGGGCCTCTGTGCATATCACAGCTCCATAGTGGTACAGGAGTCCATGTTTATGGATCCATTTTCAGGATCAAAACCCTCATTAGTAATACAGATTAATGATAATTACAAATATAAATAACTTGAGTGTATCTTCTCATTTTCCTCTGAAGACATTGCTCACAGAAGCCAGCTAAATGCTAGACTTGTTCCCTGAATCCAAACTGTATTAAGTTCTTGTGTAACGGTGCAGTAACATAAAGTTAAATAAAGCTGCATAATTTTTTTTCAAGCCTCAAAATATGGAGCTTGATTCTCAGCTAGCATAAATTGGACACCAGCACAGGATTGAGATCCCTTTTTCCATGCTAAGGAACTGAAAAAGTAAAAGAAATAAATTGCTTTTTGACTAAGAACAAAAGAAAGAAGTTTGAATCTGGGGGGATTGTTTTTCATGATGTTGTAAGTCCTGAAAATACGGCTTTATGAGAAAAGCACTTTTTAAACCAGAATTGTGTAATTGTGACTATGAAGCTGGAGCAGAATTGGGCTGTGCCAGTTCACAGGCTGAATGTTTTCCCCAAGATCCCTGGGAGATAAGAGCTGTTTTTTAATGTGGCTTCCTGAAGTGTGTCAAAACTCTGATGTTATTTAAAATCTGGCTCATCTATACAAACCTACAGAATATTTACCAAAGTCCTCGGCTGGTTGGTCCTGTCTGTGTGGAGCATGCTGCAGGATGAGTGCCCTGGAAATGCGTGTGGTGCCAATTAATTCAGTGTCCCCGCACAAATCAGCAGGACTCGCATGTTGGGGCATGTCTGTGTGCGCAGCTGGGGAGGGGGGCAGCTATTTCCAAGTAGGTGTTAGAAATACCCAACCCTAAAAAATCATAACTTGGGTGAATCGAGGGGTAACTGCAAGATGTTATTAATGAGCCGAATATATTCACGGTAATGTTTACTCACAACTGTGTGAGATTTTTACCTGGAATATCTAAATGCCAGTTTTTACACGAAGCAGAAAAGGAGCTCAGGAATCTGAGCCCACATTTGCTGTCGTGCCACAACTGATCCACAGCAGAAGGCAGCGCTTGCTGCCTGCCCTGCCAGCCTCCTCACTCCTGCACAGTGTGCAGGAAAGCAGCAGTGGAGCAGATGCCTGAGAGGGAATCCTGCTCTTTTGGTTGGGGATCATCAGCCTCTGTAGGGCTGAGCTGCAGGTCAGCGCAGGGAACAGAGCTGCTGATGGTTACAGAAAGTTCATAAATCTCCTTCATCCAGGTTCTTTCCTGAGTTGAGGAGCTTGAAATGCCACATCATTTTATTTTGAAATTTAAGTGTGAAAATAAGAAAGCCTTTTCCGGCGGGGCTACATTTTCTACCGTTTCCAAAGATTTTACCATTCACGAGGCATGCAAGCACTGTGACTGCGTAAGACCTGTCTCTGAAGAAAGGATGGGTGAGCTTCAGCCCAGCAGAGAAGCAAACCATTGTGGTCTGCACAATGCACCCAGCTGAGGCCTGGGGCCATGTCTCTTTCTGTGCCTGTGGACACTTTTCTAAGGGTTGGAGCATTCAGGGATCCCACGGAGTAACAGGCAAAACCAGCCCATATACTTTAGTGATGAGTCACTGATTACACAGAAGTTGTTAGATGACATAAGCATGTAATCCCTCTTTCTCTCTCACACACACATAGGATATAGCCCAAGCGGTTGATGATGCTGATGGAGAGGATTTATTTTTTCAGTTTATGTTGTATAGCATGGTCATATTTTGAGAATGCCAGTGCAGAGTTAGATAAGAGCCAAAAAATGCTGCCCGTGCTCTGTTTTTAAGAACAACCTGAAATTATTTAGCAGTTGGAGAAAACTGCAAAACAGTTCCCCCCTGAGTGGACTAAACAAGTCCCTCTGAACAATCCCTGGCGTAATTCACAAGAAACAACGAGACAAGTGTTTCACCTGAGCCCCCAACACAAGCCGGCTCTTCCATTTCCTACAACCCGCAGATTTTACTTGGGACAATCCTGGGGCCGGACTCGCCTGCAGCCGAGGTGGAGCGCGTGTGCGGGACGTGCATCCAGGAAACATTAAAACAGCGATGTGCGTGCCGTGCGTGCGTGCTGCGGTTGGGGAAACATGGGGAGCACGAAGTCCCGAATTTACTCCCTGGCTCTGCTGCAGCTGTCCGAAGTGAATTTGGGGATGTTGTTAGATCTGCCCATCCCTGGGCACCCCTGAGTGCCAGGAGACGCAGCAGGGTGTGCGGGGGAAGGCTGCGTGCCCGTGGGCATCCGGAGGGGTACCGGGGTGCCCCGGGGGGGGGGGGGGGAAGCCGCTGCCAGACGACCCCGCGGCATCCTGCTGCAATTTGGGAGGGAGCTGCACGGTGGAAAATATGACCAGTGCCAGGAAGGAACGGCGGGTGGGCGACGCCGGCGTGGAGGGGCTGGGGGAGAAACGGCGGCTCTGAGAGGGGAGCAGCCCCCCGACTCCCCGTTTGGGCAACTCCGGGGGGTCGTGCCTGGCGGCCGGCCGGCGGGTGGGCGCCCGGTCCTGGACTGCATTTCCCATACTGCCCGAGTGCCCTAATGTATGCAGTGCTCAGCCCGGCTCCGTGTGCGAGTGTGTGTGTGTGTGTGTGTGCGTGTGCGTGTGCGTGTGTGTGTGTGTGTGTAGCCGGGAGTCCCTCGGAGAGTGGAGGCTCATTCACTGATGAGAGCCGGCACTGAGAGGCAGCACTGCTCCTTCCCTCGCACCCCCGGCGCCTCCCGCCCTGCTACATGCGAGCCGCGGGCGCGGAGCGGGGCCAGCACGCCCGGGACTCCCCTGCTCCCCGCCAGCTCCGCGCAGCGCCCGCCGGCAGCCGCACCGTGAGTACCGGCCACCGGGGCCGCCCGGCCACACGCAAACTTTGCAGGGCAAGTTTCTCCCCCCCCACCCCCCCCCCCCCACTCCACACACCCTCTCCGCCTTCCTCCTACCACCTCCACCCCAACCCCCCCCGTGCCCTTTCCCCTCTTCTCCCTCCCCAGCTCCGGGGAAGCCGGGCGGCTCGGCGGCGGCGGGCAGCCGGGAGGGCCGGGTGGGTGGGGATCGGCATGGTAATGCCGAGGGGAAAGGCAGATAAAAGGGCCCCCCCACCCCCCACCCCCCCTCCCGAGCTGCTCGGATCCTCCCCCCGCCCCGGTGTCTTTCTGGGGGGGACCGGTTGCCACCGGGGGATCAGGTGCCGGGGACCGCCGCGACAGCCCGGCTGGGGACGGCGCACGGCGGGGGGGACCCGGCCGGACCCGGAGACCGGCACACATCCCTCGCTCCGAAATAGATACTATTTTTTTTTAAACTCATTTTTACCACCACCCCCTCTCCCCCCCCCCCCCCCTCCCTATTTTTTTGGTGGGGCAAGCCGGGGAGTTATTTCCTCGCTTCCCACCGCGGCGCCCAGGACCTCGCTCTCCGCACGGTCGATCTGGGCAGCGACAATTTCAGTTCCCAGCGGCTGCAAAACAAAAACTTTTTTCTAAGGAAATAAGCAGATCCGCGCACCCACCCACCCAGGGGTTTGGTGTTGTGTTTGGGTTTGTTTTGTTTGGGTTTGGTTTTTTTGTTTGGTTTTTTTTTTTTTTTTTCCAAATACACAAACTAAGGCTTTTATTTTGCAATAAAAGTATCTGCAAAAAGAAAAAAAAAAAAACACCGCCAGGGTTTCCGTGCGCTCAAGAAACACTGAACAGCCAGTAATTTTATTCACTCCGAAGCTTTCATTTTTGCAATCGTGCAGTCCCCGTGTGAACTTTAGTTTAAAGCCGTACCAAAAATGCGCGATCCCCGCTCGAAGACCGATTTTTTTTTTTTTTTTTTTTTTTTAAACGCACGTTGTTAAGTCGCCACTTAGCTTAATTTTGGACAAGACTGAAGTTTGTCCAACGTCCTCGCCCCTCCTCGGGTCCTTCATCCCTAAAAGATTGCCGCCCTTACCCCCGACTGCTTTCAGGTAGGAACCAAACGCCTGGATCTCACATGCGGTGTTGTTCTGGTTTTATTATTGCAGACAAAACAGTGGTAGAGAGGCGGTTTAAATTGTCAGCGTTATTCAACGAATGAGCTAAAATTACTCCACATGTGAATTGCATAGCTTGGAAAGCCAGAAGAGGTGAAAGGAATTATCCCTGTTTTCGCTTTAGGTCCTTTAGAAAACTTTCTGGATCATCCAGCGATGCGATCGAGAAATCGCAGGATTTTCTTTCTTTTAACCAACAACCCCAGCTCTAGACCAGGGAAGTCTGTAAATAGGTTGGAAGCATGGAAAATAATTCTTCACCTTCAGATCTAAATACATAAAAACCATCTGTTTGACCACAATGAAATCATTAGGAACTGTCTACTTAAAGAGTTGTATTGAATGCTTATCCTTCCACACAGGAAATGTGTATGGTAAGTGATTGTTGCAATAAATCCAAACAACTCTAGTCATCTTCGCGTTTGATGATCTTTGTGACTTGGGGTTCAAGGAGGAGGAAGAAGTGGGGGGGCGGGGGGGAGTGGGGGGGAGGAAGGCGACTTAACGGGCTGTACAGACCGGGCCGGCGGAGCCCCCTCCCCACGAGTGGGCAATTCCCGGGAAGGCAGGAGAGGAGCTGCCCCGGCTGCGCCCCGACCGCCGCTTCCCGGCGGGGCCGAGCCGGGCCGTACCGGGCCGTACCGGGCCGTACCGGGCCGTACCGGGCCGATCCGTGCCCGCAGCCCCGGCCCCGCCAAACACCTGTTTAATTTGCCGGCGGGGAGAGCGGAGCGGCCAGGCTTGGCGGCGTCGGTAGGCTCCAGCCCGGGGCTCGCCCCCCTCTTATTTTATTTTATTTGGGTTTATTTAACACCTACCCTACTCCCCCACCCTGGCGGGGGGGGAGAAAAAGCGGGAGCGGGCGAGAAGGGGGGCGGCCGGCGGGTGCCAGCCCGGTTGGCTTCCCGCGCCGAGGCGGCTGCCGGAGGGGCCGGTGCCCGGTGCCCGGTGCCCGGTGCCCGGTGCCCGGTGCCCGGTGCCCGGCCGAGCGGGGCTTCCCCGGGGGCGACGCCGCCCGCGATTTTCGTTCGGATTTCGCCAAGTTGGGAGCGGGGCTGGGGGGGCGCGGAGCGGGGCCGAAGCGGGCAGCAAAACCCTCGGTACATTGTGGTTTGTTGTTGTTGTTGTTTTTCGTGTTTGGTTTTTTTTTTTTTCATTCTTTCCCTCTTTTTTTTTTTTTTTTTTTTTTTTTTTTTCTTTTGCCAAACCCCCGGCTCTTCCATCCCTCCTGCAGCCCGTCGCCGCGGGGAGCACCCTCTCCGCCCGGGGGGCTTTTTTTTCCCTCCACTTATTTTCTTAAAAATATAATTTTTTTTTTTTTGGGGGGGGGGGAGGGGGGGAAGAAGTTTGCAGCAAAACAGAAGCGGGCGCGCAGTGCGGGCCGAGGGGGCAGCGGCCGGGCTGCGCTGCCCGGCGGAGCCGCCCGGGGCCGGGACCAGCCGCTCCGGCCGGCCCCGCCGCCGGCTCCTCCGCTCCCCGCTCTCCTATTTGGTTTTGTTTGTTTCTTTTTTTTTTTTTTTTTTTTTTTTTTTTTTTCCCCCCTTAAACTGGTTTTCACAGCAGCTGCCCGGGTGTGCGGCTGCAGTTGGCATATTTCACGCGTTGGAAAAAAATTAACTGTTTTTCCTTCGTATCTTAATCCAGTGATGAGAGCTCTCCTTTGTTGGCTTTCGAGCTTGCATTTGTTTTATTTATTATAAGGAAATCCAGTTTGGTTCAAATATATAATCCATTTGAGCACTTAAATCCCCAAACAGCTGGCATTATTTTGTTTTATAATCTTTGGCTTTTCTGCGCAGAGCATATTTCTAAATTCCTACTTGACATTTATGGGGGAAAAACTTTTTAATGTAAATGGATATTGTGATTTTTTTTTTTCCTGGGTCTTTCCTAATTTACACGCATCATCAATTTTCCTGGATTTCCTATTGTTTTAATATTTTTTTTTTCCCCCATAGGTTGTTAATTAATTTTTTTTCCCCAAGAAAACTTTGTTTCTGGAGGGAGAAAAATGTTAATTTGCACCATTATTTTAATCTCTAGCATTTGGAAATGGTTGAGAGACCACAAAAATGCAACCTGTTGTAGAAACCCGAGTGGTGTGTTTTATTTATTTTAATCGATAGCAGAGAGGTGATTTAGCCATAGGAACTGTGAGTAACATTTTAGTAAAAGATTTGCAGATCTGGTGGCTGCGTATGGGGTGTGCATGTGCTTGCATATGTGCGTGTTTCTTTGCAGGCTGATTAGCAAACGGGTTTTACGCTTCTAACTAGTGGTCACTGCTGTTTTCCCCACTTGCTGGGTGTTTGTGATGTCTGCTAAATCCAGCTCTGTCATGGCTTCTTCTACTTTTATCAGACTTTCCTCTTAACTAATTCAGCACAGTGCTAAACCTTCGTAAGCAGAGGAACCAAAACTGAGCCAGAGATAACTGATTACAACTTGTTCCTTGGTGAGAGATTTTTTTTTTTTTTTATGGTTCAGAGCTATAGGCTGTTGATTCAATTTGTCTTGGTTGTGGCATGTTTAGCTTTGTTATTAGTAACATACGCAATTACACAGGTAATTTGTGTACACCTTAAGCAGGGTATTTCTAAAAACCAATAACTATGCTTAGAGGTAGCCATGAAAAAAATAAAAATAGGAAAATTAGAGTTTGTTTTCTGTCTGTCCATCTAACCTTCGTACTTGGTAGACAGTTTATGTAGCTTCCTAGATTGATCTCCACCCCACCTCCCTCTACTCCTTGTTTAGTTAATTCAACAAAGACTTTTTGCAATCTGTTTGGAGTTTGTCTGATGCCGTGGAAAAGTAGCTGCTGATTTATTTGGTTGCTTTTCGATTTCTGTCTCTAGCCCGTCTTTTCTCCTCCTTTCAGCGGGGATGTCAGCTGTTATTACTTCCTATTGATCCCTTTGCAAAGTGAGAAGTGAACTAAAATTAATGTCAATTCCACTGCTCGGATCAATAGCTGGAGTTATTTTAATCTGGATTTGCGCGAGGTGCTAAATTAAAAAAAATCAGCATAGAGGCAGAAAAGTAGCAGTTCCTCACTCCACCTGTGCCCACAGCCTTCCCGGCACCCAAATGTTCTCTCCAGCTGATTACCTTGCAATCCATATTTTTTTAATTAAGAAGGTCAGTTAGTTTTCTTATTTTTGGGTTCTGTATTTAAACCTATGACATTTTGACATTGGGAGTGTATTAACGATAGATTTTCATAATGACTGGTCCGCCGCAGTCTAATCTGTCCGTGTTGCTGGGGGTTGGGAGGTGCTGGGTGAGAAGGGAGCAAGAGAGAACGAAAAAGGAAGTGGGAGCTGAAAAAAAATTAAATTTGGCTGGCTGAGATATTGTAATGTGTTGATTTATTCCTGGTGTAATGAAGTTTGCAAACGAATAAACGGCCGTAGTGATTCACAGTATCCTACAGGAGTGTCAAGTGTTGCGGCCAGATTACTAATTTATGAAATGCATTTAACGTAATGGGGTGATAGCACAAGTAAAAATAGAAAAGGAGGCAGAGGTGGTTGCTTTTTTTTTTTTTTTTTTTCCCTGGAAATCTGTGTTTTCCCGTGGTTGCTCAGTTTCACTTCCATGTTAATGACTGTTTATTTCTGGGGACCATGGCTTATTTACATGCATCTCTTTAGATATATAATCATGTGTGTGTATATATATATTTACACAGTTGCATAAGCCCCCAGCAACTCCACATTTGCCAGTGGCTGCAGTTTCCTGACCTCCAGTTTTTGCTCAGCCTCGCGTGAAGCAGCGGGGTGAGCGTACCCGGGACTGCAGCGCTGACCAGGATGCCCTTGGCATCCCTCGCTCCCCCTCTCCCCCTCACTGTCCGTGGGAAGAACTCGTCAGGAAAGTTATTTAAAATTTGGAAGAGAGCAAATCCGTTAATGCGAGATACATAATCTGGTAATTTAGCAATGATGTCTGTAAGGATGGGTGCCAAATGAGGAAGCAGAGACATGATGCCCACTCATCTTCACAATTAATAACAGTCAGTGGAGCGGCTGGGTACAGGATGGGAGAGAGGAAATGTTATCACTGAACTGCATTAAAGCCACAGACTGGATTTCATACACTTTGTTAACCTAGGCTCCCTCATTCATGGAGTACAAAAGGCACTCCATTAGAGAGACACTCTTTCACTAAGTTTTATTTGAGATGTTTGACCCTCTGGATTTAAGAGGCACAATTTGTAACAGCTTTTTATTATTATATGATTTTTCTGGCCCTTTGAGCTCCGGCGGCTAGTATATTGTTTCAAAGTTATAGTCCTTGTATTTTAAGCTGGGTTGTGGGGCCTGAATGGCAGGCGGCGGAAGCTTAAAAGAAAAGACACGAGATTGATTGGGGGAGAAAATAACAACACAAAAAGCCGGAGCAAACTGGGGGTAGTACAGAAAGGAGCATATTCCCTTCTTTCACCCTGGGAGGGGGTGGTGGCTGGCTGGGTGGCTGCAGCCAACCTAGGAGGCTCAGCAAGATGCGAGGCAGAAATTTTGTTAACATTTTCCTCTAAATGTTAATGGCACATCCAGGGCAGTTTACAAATCTACTTAAGAGTGAGTGCATTAGGAACTAAAATTACTGATCCATTCTCTCTTGTCCCCGACCCGAAAGGCAGACGCTTGCAGAGATCAGATGGCAGAAGCACCCATTATGATTTTAAATATTGTCAGAGACGCCAGGCATTTTACTGGGGCAGTCTCTGCTCCTTTGGCTACCAGGGACCGTGTGTGCACGCGTGGGTGTTTGTGTATTGCACACACGCACCCGTACACAGTCACATTCCTACATTCCAACAGAGTGTGCGTGTGTGTATATATATATATATGATGGTATCAAGTACTGTGTGTGCAAGTACTTACCTACCTACACACACTGTGAGAGCGGGAGAAAATACATGTCTGTTATTGTATGTCTTAGGCATCATGTACAGGATAACTATGTATTCTGGCTTATTTGGGTAACTATGTACAATAGATATTTTTATGTTAGTGCCACATGCACACACCCCCAAGCAAATAGCGATGTGTGTATGTGTGGACTTTCTCAAGTTTATTGCAATTATATGTACATGCCTCTTTTGCCATATAAAATTCCAATTATAATTTGGAATTACTATCTTAATTTCAGACCCAACCTTGTTTATTAGTGGGTTATTAAATCTGCATGTTATTATGTTTGGTTTGCCTTTCATTCATCTGCACTGGATGATACCCTTTAACCTGGAGGGCCAGAGCTGATTCCACTAGTGTGTGAAGTTGTTTATTGATTTTCTTGAATGAGAACAGTGGGTTGTAACACATGTGGCCACCCTGCTGCTGGAGCATCCCAGAGAGATGAGTGCAGAAACCTAACCGGTTGTGTTTTCTTTTCTTTTCTGTTTCCTTGCAGCATTTGGAGGGTGACGATGCTCCAGTAATTTTCTCCGCTCCGTTCCCAGGCATCGCTTTGCTTTCCTTCCAGGGAAGATCGTTTCACTTGTGATCCTGCTGAGGAAAGAGACTCCGATGGACTTACACCGAGCAGCATTCAAGATGGAGAACTCACCCTATCTCCCCAACCCGCTGGCCTCCCCAGCACTGATGGTTCTCGCCTCCACCGCCGAAGCCAGCCGTGATGCTTCCATTCCCTGCCAGCAGCCGAGGCCTTTTGGGGTCCCTGTGTCAGCAGATAAGGACGTGCATATTCCCTTTACCAATGGCTCATATACTTTTGCCTCCATGTATCACCGGCAAGGCGGGGTGCCGGGAGCGTTTGCAAACCGTGACTTTCCTCCCTCCTTGCTTCATCTCCATCCCCAGTTTGCACCCCCCAACCTGGACTGCACCCCGATCAGTATGTTGAACCACAGCGGTGTTGGGGCTTTCCGCCCCTTTGCATCTACTGAAGACCGGGAGAGCTACCAGTCAGCCTTTACGCCGGCCAAGCGCCTGAAAAACTGCCATGACACTGACTCGCCCCATCTGCGCTTCTCGGACGCTGATGGGAAGGAGTATGAGTTTGGCACGCAGCTCCCCTCCAGCTCCCCCGGCTCTCTCAAAGTTGATGATACGGGGAAGAAGATCTTTGCTGTTTCTGGCCTCATTTCTGACCGGGAGACCTCATCCAGTCCCGAAGACCGAAGTGACAGATGTAAGTACCTCCGCTGAGTTGTTGATTCTTCTTTAGCTGCACCTTGTTGAGATACTCAACAGGTGATTGTCCTGTAGTGCTGTGGTTCCTGCTGAGGGCAGAGGAAAACCAGCCTTTTCTGCCTGCCAAGCTCAGCCACGCAGTATTGCCTTGTCTCTTCTCAGTGGGCATTGACAGATTTTAAGGTGAGGTGCTCTTGAAGGGAGCTGGTCTTCCCGCACACAGCTGGAGAGACGGTGTTGACCATGCAGAAAGCTGTCCATGCCCCAGGGCGAGGCTATAGATGCTGGTACATATATGTGTGTAAACAGGGATGCAGCTGGAGTGTGTAGCCAGAAACTTTCCCAGAGCTTGCAGCAAACATGTACCTCCTGCTTCCTCAGGTATTTCTTTCTGACCTTTTCTTCATGCACACCATTCTTATAGCAAATGCATCACCTCCAGGATTCATGCCTCAAGTTAGGACAGAAGTATGTTTTTCTCTGGTTAACTTAAGAATATTTCTGGCCACTGAGCTCCATCTTTGAGACATAAACCCAAGTCTGTTCTTACAATTCAATAAGCTGTTGCACCATGTGCTTTCTCTGAGCGTTTCCCCCCTTTGGTGCCTGTTGAAAGGTGACATGCCCTTTCACAGCTCGGTGGATGGACTGAAGGAAACTGGTCCACATGCTCATGACGGTAACTCCCTGCTCCCCCATCACCTTGTCCCTTGTGGTGGCCAGCGCTGTCCTCCGGGAAGGGCAGGCTTCCAGCTCTGCTGAGCTGGGAGGTGACCCATGATGGGGAGTGGTCAGGGGGCAGCGGTGCGTGGTACTCCAAAGAGGACCGCAAACTTATGATTAGAGTTTTCCTGTAAATCCAGATGTGTAGACCAAGGAGTGAGTGATTTGCTTTTCACACGGGCTCCTTTGTTCTGTTGAATTTTCTTCCTAGAAAACAATTTTATTATTGTTGTTTTTTTTTTATTATTTTTTTTTTCCCAACAAAAACCTGCTGCACCGCTCCTTCCTCTCCCTTTCAGATGTGATTTTTCTTCTCCCCTTTATGATGCCGAGGAGAGTAATAGAGACATTGTGGCTCTCTCTCCCCTGTCGGCGCTGCTTCCTCAGGCTGTCTCCTTGAATTAGGCACTGTGCTAACTTACCGGCGCTAAAAGGCATCTGCCTAAACCCAGCATACCTTTTCAATAAAAGTCATCATAAAATCAACCTGCCTTGTAAATCCATCGCTCTTTGGTTTTGAAATATGCTGCAAGTGTGTCTTTTATGTTGACGTTTGCGAGGGTAGGATGATTCCCAGTGAAGGCAGAAGCCTTGTATTCCTTGCACTGCGAATGTGGTCTCTTATCTATCTCCCCCCTCCTTCTGATCCACCCTTGAGTGTGCTACTTTTTGTGCCGTAAGCTCCTTTCATTGTTCAGCATCTTCTCACCCTTCTTTTGGGTCCATGGGGGAAGTGGCTGGAGGTGGGAGCGCGTATGGATGTGCATGTGTGTAAGCTGGTAATATAATTATCCTTGGGGGAGAGGCAGGTGAGTTGGCAAGGCTTAGAGACATCTTTGTCAATGCTCTTTCCCTTATCAATATAACCGGACTGTGGAAATTAAGCTTGCTCGAAAGAATACTGTGGGAAATAGTGGTGGAGGAGCGGGTCCTCCAGCTAAATGAATTTAAAGCGCATCAGCTGCTATGGATCTTGCTAGCAAAGTCCTGTCAGATACCCAATTTAAAGAAGTAAATCTGTTAAATGAATTAGACCACATGAAGCACAGCTGTGGACAGACAGATGCATCCACCTCCACCTCCACCGCTGTGCCTTGCCTTTGCCAACAGCGGGTGCCGAATGTGGGTCCTGTCCTTCCTGGGCGCAGAGGGGGCCCCGCGCCGGCACTGCCCGGCGGGAGGGAGCGGAATAGAAACTTTGCAGGCAGCTTGGAAAGCTTGGGCAGAAATGGACGGTGTTTTGTTTTGTTGTTTTCCTTACCCATATCGTTAAATTTCTTTAAGATGCTTTGCTGCGTGGTAGAGCCAAGCAAATGCAACATCCCTGATATTTCATTGACATCAAAATTCTTCTGTAACTACCAGGACAGTGTACACTAAATATGTCTGTTGGCTCTGTATCATATTCCCATCACATATAGATACTGCACCATGGAAACTTCGCTCCATTAACACGGCGAGTTTATTTGGTGTGCGCATACGCACGTATGGGTGTGTTTGCTGGAGGCCGAGAGAGCGAGTGGTAGAGCTTTTTAGAGGATCCTAATGATCTTTGATGTTGACCATTAGGAAAGAAAAACTTCCGCAGTGAGGAATTCGAGGGATCACAGTTTGCAGATATAATCATCATCCTGTTTTGCATTGACATTTGCATACATATATTCAGAGTTTTTATATGAATGCATACTTCGGGGGGGTTTGTTGTCTCTTATTATTGGCCCCTGAGAAGTTTTGTGGATTCTCTGTGTAATTGTTATATATAACCCTTTGCAAAAACTGCCTACTTGTTCTTCTGATGGAGAATCTGTTGCAGGTAGTTGGCTGTAGATTCTAGGCAGAAATTTAATAAGGTTTTTCTACAACAGCGAGCAAAATTTGTAAGATTTTCTTAGATCAGCAACACCTTTATATGTCTAACGGGTGCTTTTCAGATTTGCAGAGCTCAGTCCTTTACCTGTATTTTTCAGATTCCTGAAAGGTTTTGTGTTACACGGAAGGTGAATTACTGTGATTACACTGCATATTCTTCTGCACAGGAACCTTTTTTGAAGAGCTCATTAAAATGTTTGTTTTACCCCATAGCTTAAATGGTGATTTGCTAAGAAACTTGCCTTTTTTTTTTTTTTAATATATTTTTTTTTTAGAAAAGGAATTCAATGCACTGAGTTTTAATTTTCCTGAAAAATAGGTTTACGCTTGAGATACTGTGCAGCAAAATGAGAATCCAAAGTCAAGCATTTTCATCTCAAGGAACATTTGTAAGTTGCTCTATTTAGCCCTCTACATCATGGGAGTGAAGTCTCATCCTCTTTTTTCACCAGTAGAGGAAATTCACAGAATTCAGTAAAATTATTTGGGATATGTGCTGATGTAACCCATGTTAGCATCTGGCCCTCTAAGATACATATTGATGCAGTAGAGATTGCTCAGACTTTCGGGTTAATCTTTCATTACTTCTAAAGCAGGGTGTTGCTCGCCAGCGGTACCCACACCCGTGCATCCCATGCAGGGAGAGCTTCTCCTCTGGGGCGCATCTGGGGGGGATCGTGCTCCTTGTTACTCAGCAAATTGGACTGAGATACCTGCATTTGGCCAAGCTGTCTCTTGCTGTAAAACGCAGGTACTCAGGACATCTGGAGTGATGGAGTGTACAGGGAGCATGTAGAAAAGCGGAACCTGTCCAGGGAGAAGCAGGCATAACGTGCACTGGATGGACCCGTTCTCTTAGGTGCTTACTGAGAAAAATAATGCCATTTGTTAGAGTTTAGGGGCTTCTTGTAAAGCATGTGTTAAAGACACTGGGAGACATATTTTATGGGTTTCCTTTAATAAGCGTACAATAGTTGAGATTCCTAGAAGGAGTGGAAATAAAGGGCATGTTCCTTTCTGCAAAAGAGATCTACAGCCCTGTTTTAAAATCAGAAAAAAAAAAAAAAATCCCTGGTTTTATTTTTTGTTTCTAATAAAATCTGTCCCAGTGGCCCTGTGTACCCAGTCACCATGGCATCGCTTCCCCACAAAGTGACAAGCAGACATCCATGTCGAAGCCAGGATCTCTTGGCAAAGAGCTGGACCTTGTCAGAGTGGACACGTCTGCCGTCCCCGCGAGGCTGCCCGTGCCACCAGCCTCCCTGGGACCACGGAAGATGGTTTCCTGTTGCTGCTTGCTCTTCATCATGTGTTGTCTGTGACTTCTTGTGGAGCACAGCCTGGTGTGTCAAGGTGACCGTCTATTCTGCATCCTGGCCACTGGCTCTCCTGGCCTCAGTTTTCCTGGCTGCTGCTGGTGGCTCTCACCCAGTTCCTGGTGTGCCCTGGGGATGAATTGGTGAGCACGCTGCAATCCTCGCTCCTCTCTTGGGACTGGTGGGTAAAGTGGGGGTGGTTTTTATTATTTTTATTATTATTTGTAATAATCATATTTAACCTTGGTTATCTGGACAGTCAGTTTGTCCTGCAACCAGTTTCTCCCCTGCAAGAGAGGTTGTGCAACATATTAGTGAGTTCTTTGTTCCACTTCAGGGTTTTAAAGAACATCTCTAGTGTGGAGTTAGTTTTCCTTTTGAAACAACCAGTTTGTTATTGATCAAATGTAAGCCACACTTCAGGTGATGAACGTCAGGGCTATAATGACCACAGCTTGAATTCCTGAATAACTTAGTACTTTGGAAATCAGGTCAAGGACTATCTCTACAGTCACCCACCTGGTCAGACGTGTGTGTTGGACTTTGTGTTTATGGGCTGGGACCTATGTATAGAGCTCTGTGTGTGCGTATGTACATGTGCCGGGGGAAGAAGGTTTATCTTCTTATATTCTGTGGCAGAACAATGGGTTGGAGGAGGAATGCACACATGCACAAATCCATTGCTCATAACTCTTCTTGCTGGGATGCACCACTTCCAAGGCTGGTAAAATATGGGATCTAACGTGAAGTGATGCTTTGTTGCTAATAATAATCAGCCATGACCATGGGAAATTGCAAGCTTAACATTGCTTATGAAATAATGAAATAAATCAAGTGGAACGTTTGCTTTCTGTCATGCAGTGCCCTGCATGATGTAGGAGGAGTGAAGAAGCAACAGTGGATTTTCTGGAGGGGTGGGGAGGCAGATGGACAGTAGCAGAGTTGAAGGCCACGCATCCATCCCTGTCACACCACCGAAAATGCGGCGTCCTCCTGGAGCTAGGTGCACTGCATGGAGGGAGGTCTTGGAGTGTGCAGCAATCACCTCCTTTTTCTGCTTTTCTGGCAACAACCTTCCCGCTCCCTCTGC